GCGAGGTGCGGAAGATCAGTTTTGTTCACTATAGATGTTAGGTGTGTATCAACTATGGGTGGCGAAAGGGTCCAGGGCGGAACCGCAGCAGGCCGCCGTTCAGCAATGTCAATACCTTTAAGGCCGCACCCCTCCGCCAGAAGGTCAGTACTGACCCCAAAGGGAAGGGCAGGGTCCTTAAACTTGGATTTACAGAAATAACCTTCCCCTAAAACCCATGCACGGGATTATTAGCCTTAGTACTTTTAATCCGTGCATAGTATTTTAGGGTTTGTTCCTGTCTTCTTAAATGTAGTGGTGGTATACCGGCCTCAAGTTCCAGGTCTCGGGCTGGGGTAGATCCTAGGGCCCCCAGGGCCAACCTGAGAGCAGCATTTTGGATACGGTCCAATTTATTAAGGAAGCTGGGGCATGCACTAGAATAGATTTGTGCTCCATAATCTATTTTTGAACGTATTAAGGATTTATATAGTAGTAAAAGGCTATTTTTATCAGTGCCGAAATCTGTGCCTTTTAACATTCTCATGACATTTAAATCCTTTTGACACCTGTTGACCAGATCTTGAATATGTTGCCCGAAAGTTAATTTTTTATCCAAAAGTATGCCTAAAAAATCGGGCAACTTTAACAAATTGAATTGTGTGTACTGCCTAAAGATACGTTCAAAGTGTGCTCTTTTTGATTTCCAAATAAAATTGCTACTGTTTTTGTCTCAGAAATTTGAAATCCCCATTTTTTTGCCCATCCCCATAGAGAGTCCATGCCAGCCTGTGCACATTGGGCTAGTTTTACCAAATTGGACCCTGTCTTCCAACAGCTTGAATCATCAGCAAATTGGCTAATAACCATACCGGAGCCAGAGAGAGCCTCTGGTAGACCATTGATTATTATAGAAAAAAGCAACGGTGAGAGGATCGAGCCTTGCGGAGTGCCCCGCTCCACAGGCTCAAGGTCAGACATAAACCCTTCTACCCGGACCGATATCTTCCTGCCCTCAAGGAAGGACCTGATATACTGGAAGCAAGACCCCGTCACTCCATATTCTTTTAATTTAAATAATACTCCAAAATGCCATGTTAGGTCAAAAGCTGCAGTAAGATCCAGAAAAATTGCTAGCACTGAACGTGATCTGTTTTTTGCATAGGTCACGTCATGCTGCAGTCGAGCCAGCTGATCCAAAGTGCTCCTGCCCTTTCGGAAGCCAGATTGAAAGGGGTTAATTATATTTTTTGATTCTAGTAAATGTTCTAAACGTGCCTTGACCATTCCCTCAAGCAATTTCCCTGAGTGAGATGTAAGGCTTATTGGTCTGTAAGATTTTGGTTCATTTTTTATTTTTACCATTTTTGTATATAGGAATGACAGTGGCCTCCCTCCAAGCATTGGGGTATATTCCCTCAGACCACACCCTATTGTATAGCCTTAACCATATTTCAAGCACACTGTCTGGTAGGTGCTTGAACATCTGGTAAGAAAGCACATCCTTGCCCGCGGCAGAATCTCGCCTCGCATTTAAGCAGGATTTAAGTTCCGAAAGACTGAATTGTAAATTAAGAGGCGAGTTATTTTCCCCCGGCTCATAGACCGAATCCTTGTTTTGTGACTCAAACTCTGCCTGATATTGAAGAGTTTCCGGTAACATGTTCGAGTCACTGGAGACCTGTTTGTAGTGCTTAACAATTTCTTCTGTGCGCAGCTCCTTTTACATTTCTCAACGGATTTTGACCAAACTTTCACAGAAGCTTTGTCATCAAGTGCCCTGGGGCATATTGTCGGGGTTTTGCGATTGGATAATATTTGACCTAATTACGGCCCTTTGTTTTTTTTCCTTATAAAGAATATACATGTTTGTATAGTGAACAATTTCTTCTGTGCACAACTCCTCCTACATTTCTCCACAGATTTTGACCAAACTTTCACAGAACCTTTGTCACCAAGTGCCCTGGGGCGTATTGTCGGGGTTTTGCGATTGGATAATAATTGACCTAATTATTGCCCTTTGTTTTTTTCCTTATATAGAATATATAGCACTTGAACAATTTCTTCTTCTGTGCTGAACTCCCTCTACAATTCTCAAGGGATTTTGTTTAAACTTTCACAGAAGCTTTGTCATCATGTGCCCTGGCGCAGGGGCGGGCGGATGGCGGGCGTAAATAATTTCTTCTGTGCGCAACTCCTTCTACATTTCTCAACGGATTTTGACCAAACTTTCACAGAAGCTTTGTCATCAAGTGCCCTGGCGCATATTGTCGGGGTTTTGCGATTGGATAATATTTGACCTAATTATGGCCCTTTGTTTTTTTTCCTTATATAGAATATATAGTGAACAATTTCTTCTGTGCGCAACTCCTTTTACATTTCTCAACGGATTTTGACCAAACTTTCACAGAAGCTTTGTCATCAAGTGCCCTGGGGCATGTTGTCGGGGTTTTGCGATTGGATAATATTTGACCTAATTACGGCCCTTTGTTTTTTTTCCTTATAAAGAATATATAGTGAACAATTTCTTCTGTGCACAACTCCTCCTACATTCATAGGTTTGTAAGGATAATAAAATACTGGTTAAAAATTGTAGAAACTGATAACATAATCCTTAAAACAGTATAATATCAAGCTCTAGATGATTGCAACAACAATGGTCATAAAAATTTGGTTTCAAATGTAAGAAAGCCTTTGAATGATTATGGAATTTCATATGTATATATCATTATATATTTCATCATGTTAATACTATTGAAAAAAAAAATTTTCATATGAATTTAGAAGTCGTATTGTTGATTCTTTTAAACAGGAATGATATGCTACTTTAGATAATAGTTCTGTATTGTATAATGTACAAAAATGTTAAATGTAGTTTTGAGTATGAACTTTACTTAGATATCTTAGATTTTATTTCTGTAAATTAAGAATGAGTAGTTTGTCTTTGAGAATGCAAACTGGCAGATATTCTAGGAATAGAATTGCTAGAGAAGAAAGGTATTGTTTATGTTGTAATGCCTCAGACATTGAAGATGAATTTCATTTTGTTTGTATATGTCGTTGTTATGCAGAGTTAAGAAAAAAATATTTGAAAATTAAATATACCAGAAATCCATCAGTTTATAAATTTTTACAATTATTGAACTCAAATAGTAAATATGAATTAATTCAGTTATCCAAATTTGTTAAAGAAGCACTTGCTTTGAGAAACACACTGTTAAATGTTTAGCGTTAAACATCATTATTGCTCATTCTCCTGTTTGTATGTCTTTACTTTTTTAATTTGTAGTATACATATTCATTATTTCATTTTCTTGTTACTAGATAAATTAAGATTAAGAATTTTGAAAATGTCATAATTGCTATTACCATTATATTGACGTTATGCTTGTAAATATCATTGTATTATAGATGATGTACAATGTACAAATCTTAATAAAGTATCTGTTCTGTTCTGTTCTGTTCATTTCTCCACAGATTTTGATCAAACTTTCACAGAACCTTTGTCACCAAGTGCCCTGGGGCGTATTGTCGGGGTTTTGCGATTGGATAATATTTGACCTAATCATTGCCCTTTGTTTTTTTCCTTATATATAATATAAAGTGAACAATTTCTTCTGTGCTGAACTCCATCTACAATTCTCAAGGGATTTTGTTCAAACTTTCACAGAAGCTTTGTCATCATGTGCCCTGGCGCATATTGTCAGGGTTTTGTGATTGGATAATATTTGACCTAATAATGGCCCTTTTTTTCCTTATACAGAATATATAGTGAACAATTTCTATCGTGCGCAACTTCTCCTACATTTCTCGAAGGATTTTGACCAAACTTTCACAGAAGCTTTGTTATCAAGTGCCCTGGCGCATATTGTCTGGGTTTTGTGATTGGATAATATTTGACCTAATTATGGCCCTTTGTTTTTTTTCCTTATACAGAATTATCAATATACATGTATAGTGAACAAATTCTTCTGTGCTGAACTCATCCTACATTTCTCAACGGATTTTGTTCAAACTTTCACAGAAGCTTTGTCACCAAGCGCCCTGGCACATATTGTCGGGGTTTTGTGATTGGATAATTTTTGACCTTATTATGGCCCTTTGTTTTTTTTCCTCCTACATTATTCATGTTTTACATTGCACATAGTTACATTGTTTGTTGCTTGTATTTGTGTCTCAAATACAACATATTTATCTACAATGTTGATAATTGAAAACCTGGTTTCATGGCATTGCCATGTTTCTTGTTACATTTAAACGCACCCCTGGAAAAAAATTACGAAGCGAGTCGCTACTAGCTTTTTTAAAAGCTAACCTTGTATTTATTAATTTGAATCAAATGTTATGTAATCGCAACTTCTCGGCCCTTTCAGTCTTCGGATATGGACCAAAATGTCCCGATTGTAGTTCTATGATAATAATGCTCGCAAATGTGTAGTTCTGGCTTCCAAAACTTTATAAGCCGCTTTTTAACATTTTTGTTTTTCATCAGATGCGGCATTAAACGTCATGTCATATATATAAACGGGTACGCTGAAGACCTTAAGCTAGCAAATGTGTTGCACAGGTTTGTTTTGAGCATAGCACAACGATATTTATAATAATTCCGTACATGAATAGTGTTTTTATTCAAGTCATAAAGACAAGTGCTGGCAAAGCTTTTTCATTAAAGTGTTGATTTTATGTCGATCACTTAACGGTAAACCAAGATAATTAGACTATGGACTAGTTTGTATCATGGATGCAGAAAAATGTGGAAAAACAGTATATTTGACATAATATCAATATGGTTGTCGGTTAAACTTGCTATAGAAGTACGTTAACGGGCAATAAGTTTGCTTCTATGACAAATATACTAGTACATGTACATGTAGTTACTATTCATGTGTAAAGAGCATTAATTTGCATTTTTGACAGTGAAACGAGAGATTCACTTTTACAATTTGATGAATGCATGTATCTTTACTATAGAATCAAAATAATACGTTATACAAATGTTCAGAAATGAAAGACAACATCAATAGAATGAAAACGTATAGTTTTATTTTAATAAGCAATGTGTCAATACAGATACGTAACTAACTATCATAAACCATTCAAAGTCAATAATTCTGTTTCATGGAAAAATATTTTTAATTCAAGTCATAGACAAGTAATGTTAGATTCAGTAACAAGGCTTTTTCTTTATTTTAAGTGATGATTTTTGGCTACATAATCCAAATTTAAACCTAAAACTAGAGGTACATTTCAAATCATTTCACAAAATCTTCAACGTTCAACTGTTTATTAACTTGTCCATTACGTAACTGTAACTACCCATTATCCATGCTATTATTCAGCTATTTTTGATGCAATCTTCACAGCAAGTTTACAGATAGGTTTTATGTCTTCAACCATTTGTATGACATGAACTGGCATATCTACAGGAACCTGGAAAAAAAGATAAAAAATTAACTTAAAGAAACAAAATGGATAAATCAGGTGAGATAAACCTTTTTCAGGCATTTCATTTTATGATAACGATAACATTTTATTGACAATGTTTTAAACACACAGAAACGCCGTGCTCCCTTCAAAGTTTAGAGCATATAGAGCATAAGAAATCATCAATAAAGATGTATGGAAAAAATAAAATTGTATATATAATATACAATGTATATATACGTCACTACCCTTGTTTTGTCTGATTATATTTGTATGCTGAAGAAGGCCAAAAGGTCGAAAGCTATGCAAATTCAATTCATTCCAAGATGCATATAAAAAGCTGAAGAAAAGAGCTTAAATAATCATTTGTAGTGCAAGTGTGCAAGTTAAGATTCCCCAACCTTTACCAAATCACTTTAGTATTAAAGGCACTGTGCTATGAAATCCTCTAAATCGATTGCCCTTGTGTCTGATTATTTTTGCATTAAACCATGTTTTCGTCTAAACTAATGATTCAAAGGATGAGGTTTACTTGTATAAAGAAGGAATTACAACATAATTCGGAATTGTTACCTTTATCTTTAAATGTCTATCAAAGATGTATTTGACTATGCGTACTTACTTCTTGCGTGTGTACCATAACCACAGAGTCACAAAATGATAGGAGAATCGTCACAGCCTTATTGTTGCCACCTTTCTTGTTACCCTTCTTCGAAAAACAAAACAAAACAAAAAAAAACACAATTATAGCTCTTTTTTATCTAAATGTTGCATTTGCCTATTAAGTATTTCTCTTCTATTAAAAAAACAATGTACAATAATGTTAACACATAAATAGTTTTCAAATGCATCTGCAGACTTATTTTAGCAATGTCCATATGGCAAAAAATTAGATGCAATCTTTCAAACTTTAATGAAATATATAACGTTGTTAAACAGATTTAACCTGAATATGGAATTAGATTTTTCTGTTCTTTGATGTGACACATTTTATGCTGGCTTTAATTCTTTTTCATGATTAAATGCTACAACCATAAGTTCATCCGAAATGCAAAAGAGTTTGAATTTAAATTGTAAATAGCGGTATATATTTAAAATGATAAGGTAATATACCTTTGCTTTGACGGAAGTATTACTGTTATTCTCTCCAAATTGGGTTCTTTGCTTTAAATATGTATTACAAACAGGCTTCAGTAATTTAAACACCTTCTTAAATCTAGAGTCGGTGTTTTTTACTTCACCTGACATAAGACCTTCACACAAATAGTTAAAACTCCACTTAGGTTTCCCTCCTTCGGATATGACCATAGCGTCGTCACAAATAGGAACTATGTCAGTTAAGACTTTCTTTAGTTTTTTTGCCATATTTTTGGGAAGCTGAAATGTATGCGAGTATTGAAATGCGTATTTAAAATGATAAATTTAAAATGATTGTCTCATCTACAGTAATTGCTTAAGGTTATTAAACAATTAATTATAAACTTGATTTTGCCTCAATCAGGACTTTACCATAGCCGCCCTATTAGACTTTTGAGCCACCATCACATGTATATACAAAATATATAATGCGGAATTGTCAGGCTAAAAAGTAAAAACTACATGTGTTTTGTACTTTTGAGGAATTCCGAGATTGAAAAAATAAAATAAAAAAGTTAAGTCGTCTGGCAGGTATTAGCATTTGCTCTTGCTGAACGTAAGTGCAGTAATTCCGCCAGCCATTTATCCATCTTTCATTAAGTATTTTAAACAATTCAATTTGTATGCAATGGCCAATCGTTGTTACCTCTGCATTGATGCCTTTCATATTTCGGCAGCTGCAACAATGTGTGTTGCGGAGGTTGTGGTCCGCCAGAATGCTAAATACATGTAAATAAATGTATCTCGCCCGAAATTGCAATGCAATTCAATGCAATTTAACATATTCAATTGAAAAATCAAATAAAATGTACAATATTTATTAGCTTATTAATAATTTGTGAATGACAAATTATGCATCAAAAAAATCAAATTAACAAGAAGTTATTATTCAGTATGATTTTATTAAATTAATTAGTTGATTATCGGCTGATTGTGAAAAAGGAATAAAACGAAAAAAAAGAGAATAAATTAATCGACTCACTCCTTGTTCCATTGTATCCTCATGGCGCCAGCAGAATTGTAGAAGCTTCACCACGGCACTATGATCAGTCTCCCCATTATTTTTACCATTTTTCTTTAAAATTAGATATGAATAAATATTAACAAAACGTCGCTTTTTTATTATAGAAAGAAGTAAAACATTCGTAGATTATATTTCAAAGATATCAGCTTAGAAAATAGCGTAAATGGCAACAGAAAGATTACCTCATCATTGGGAGGAGGACCATCTTCTGTCTTCTCAACGTAATCAAGAAGTTTGACACAAATTGGGTCCATTCTGGTAAACAAGTCGTCATATTTTGGGTTTGAGTTTTGAAATTTACCATCTGCTAGACCTTTACATATATGTACAAGGCCTGTTTCAGGACCTCCTCTTTCTATATTATGTACTTCAACACAAACGGGATCCATTTCACTATAGATGTCCAATAACTCTTGTGGAGTGTCCTCGGGAAACTTAAATGAAAATATAAAATGTCAGTATATTTGTGTAGATTACGATAACGATTAACAACAAAAAGTATTTGTGATGCAAATATAATCTTTAAATTTTCATAGCAATGTTTTTTTTTCAAATTCATATATTATCCTTATATTTACAGCTAAAATATTGTTAAGCACACATAAACGCGCACGCACGCACGTTCAAACACACATGTTTTCTCACGTGTGCACATGCGTGCGAGGATATGTGGGCGTGTGCCATGATATTTCCTTTCTGTATATTTGCTTCTAAATGATTCGTCGAAGATACCGTAAATTATAAATTACACACAAATTTCTAATCGTTGGTTGAATAGAACATCAGCTGTGCTGCTTCACATATTGAGATTATTTTGCTATTTGAGCCGCGTCATGACAAAACCAACATAATGGGTTTGCGACCAGCATGGATCCAGACCAGCCTGCGCATCCGCACAGTCTGATCAGCTAGGATCCATGCTGTTCGCTTACCAACCCTATAGCAAGAGAAACTGATAGCGAACAGCATGGATCCTGATCAGACTGCGCGGATCCCATGCGCAGGCTGGTCTGGATCCATGCTGGTCGAAAACCCATTATGTTGGTTTTGTCGTGACGCGGCTCGTTTATTATTCACCTTCGGAATATAATTACACTAATATCTGGTCATTTAGAGAAAACTAGTTAAAATACATGTACAATGCTTTAAATATATAAGGCCCGTGAACTCTAAACAAAGTTCTTAGAATAGTTTAAAGACGTAATTTTCATAAGCTCCAAGAGGTGACTATTTTCTGGGCGTCTAAATATGCTGTAACAAGGGGATTTTACTGGTTAATATACTTACACCATTTGCCTGTTCATGTTTCAATTTCCTACAAAATCCATGTAGAATGTGCTTTGCATCTTCCTTTTTACCTTTTTTGCCACCTTTCTTTAAAAAGAAGACAATCATTCGATGATAAGTAAATTTGAACTAGAAGGAAAATTACAATGTATTTGTATTAATAAAATTACTATTATAAGTATGATTTCTATTTCGACGGTGGAAAAAATATAGATAACAAAAAATCAAGAATATAACGAGAGAGAAAATACTCAAATAATATCAAAATTACTTTTGCATATTCAGCAACATCGCCTTCATTTTCAACTTTTTCCGCTTCTGCGTCTTGTCCTTCCATGTAGGCCTCTAAATCGTCACATATTGGATCAATCATTTTAAACACATCATTATATGCGTCGTCGGTGTTTTTCATTGTCCCATCTTCAATACCAGTACACATTTCATCAAGGATCACATCAAGCTCATTATCAAGGACATCCACAAAATTCTTAAAGAACTTATCTTTATCATTTTTATTACCCTTTTTACCACCTTTCTTCTGCAAAAAAATGTATTCTTATTATATTCAATACACGCCACTGAGCGTATAGCTTAGTGTTAAAATATCAACTAATCTAGCCACAGGTGGCAGTACCAGTGTTTGGACACCCCCCCCCCCCTATCTGCCCCTGGACCCTTACTACAACCCTGAAAAAAATAATTCAACACTCTATGGCTTACTATAAGGTACCAAATACCAAACCACCGATGAAATTATATAAAAAAAAAATTCCACTATCAAAATTATAGTTATCACTATAATTTTGATAGTGGAATTTTTTTTTTTTATATAATTTCATCGGTGGTTTGGTATTTAGTACCTTATAATAAGCCATAGAGTGTTGGATTATTATTTTTTTCAGGGTTGTAGTAAGGGTCCAGGGGCAGATAGGGGTGGGTGTCCAAACACTGATACTGCCACCTGTGAATCTAGCTGGCGAAATTATTATAATTAAATATTGGTTAAAAAAAATTGGCCCAGAAATAACTCATTAATAAAAAGAATGTAAAATGTACTGAAAGAAGATGTCAATAATAATGATAATAATAATAATAATAATAATAATAATTATTATTATTATTATTATTATTATTATTATTATTATTATTATTATTATTATTATTATTATATCTCCTATAACGGAAATAATTGGGGGAAAAACTTGAAGATACTTGACGAAATGGGTTTTTACTTTGTATTGCTAAAACAAAGCAGAATTATTATATCTTTTCAAATACTAAGAAATGGAATATTGAATATATATAAACCAACTTGGTATTCATAGTTCTGTTTGAAGAGAGCTATTTTTGCATTTAGTTTTTTGTTGTTGTACCGGAATATACAATACTAGATTTTCAGACAACATTTTAGATTTCTATGTGTTGTCAAGAAATAAATGGAAGCTTATTCTTTGTAGACAGGACTATGAAAATAATGATTGAAAAAAATAGCTATAGTGAACCGGCCAGAACTGAACAACTTCATTTGTATTATTCCATTTGTATCATTACCATTTGTTTTACTACCATTTGTATTGCTTATATGATGGTGCTGTAGCTTATAAATCAGAAATAAAAATGGGACGAGATTAGATTACATAAAGTTTCCGAAAGTTATTATCCGTCATTGAGAAATAATTTGTCATAAATGTAGCAAAACGTTAAATAAATTGGTACTTTGCATCCCAACTATAGCTATAATAATTGTTAAATGCAAATGAATCAAAAGATATCTTAGCTATATAGCCAATTAGTATTTTCCAGGATCTTTAAAAAAAACACCGATTGCCATATTTTGAGAAATGAAAACAATTGCATTTAAGGGTATAATGAGCCAAAAATAAACAAATTACTCTGCTGTCATGCACTCTGTACAAAAAATCACTATGATAAAATTAATCCTGGAGGAGTTGTCTAAATGCAATTTAAACGATGCCTTGTTCTTAGACTTTAATACTTCACCAATAAATAACGCACGTGTCTTAAATGCTCTTTTAAATACATGTTAATTGTAAGTGCCTGTTAAATATCAACAAGCGTTGATGTAAATATTGTTTTTCATAAAAGTAAGGAGGCATAATTGACCACATTTAAAGGAGGCAATAGAACATGTTATAACTTCTGCTACTTACAGATAAGGCAGATGTGAGGACAATGACGCAGATGAGTATTAGAAGTTTCGGATTCATCTGGAAAACAAATAGATAATGGATAGATTAGGGACACCAATGTATTTAAACTATAGATGCAATGATATTTATAGTTCATTATTTTAAGCCTTTATACACATTGATTACATGTATATATAAACGATATAAATGATGTCATATTCAAAAGGCATAATTGGTGCCAGAATCTAACATCTAGGTCTTAGACTTGTATAAGCTTTCATACCATCTTCTTTGAAATACTTGTAATAACGCACTGGCGATACATTTTCATCGGAAAAATATCCGATATTCGTTTCTTTCAAATTCAATATAATTTATTAAAATAACTGACTTCTATCTTTTCTCCGGGTCGAATCCGTGAAGAAAAGAAATTACTGCCAAATCGTCTGACAGTCCTAACTTTTTTTGTTTATTGCTTAAAATTCGTCCCATAATCAGTATAAAAACCATATAACAAAAAAAAAAACATCAACAAACAAATTCTGTGTAAACAGCAAAACCAAAACAAAACTATGACTTTGAATCCTAAAAAAATGCAAGAGAAAAGCTCATCTTATATAATTATGTCTTTCTTTTCTTTTTAAATATAATATGACATACGCAGACCTAGCCTCTGACATTCCAAAGAAGATGTTACGGTATTCTGGCACCAATTATGCCTTTTGAATGTGACATCATTTATATATGCATGTAATCAATGTGTACATAGACTTAAAATAATGAACTATAAATTATAAACATAATTGTGAATGAGGATTATAAAAATTCTTTGACTGAAAAATACTTTACTAAGAACAGAATACTTGTTAGATACAGAACTTAATCACAAGGATACAGAATGTAATCGCGATACCAGAAAATATCATAAAACAATTTTATTGTCACTTGTTGTCATTAAATAAATTTCATTTCTTAATCAATTTAACGCAGAAGAACCTATTTTATTTTGCTGAAATATCTGAAAAAATTAAAACTTAGTTATTTAATTTTTTTTGAAATGATTAAGATATTTAAACAATTATAAAATGAAAACGTTATTCTTACCTTAATGACTTAATGGCCTTCTACCAGTTGATTATTCTGACTGGGCCTGTCCTCGAGTTTAAATACCCTCTTAATTTGTCTACAAAATAGCGTCATTGTAAGTCAAGACAGTCATGTGGCAATGCCCCGAGCACTTTAAATGTTTACAGTTTCATATATCAATAAATTCACAAACATTTTATAAATGGCCTTGGCTTAATTAATGAACGCGGCAGTTATTTTGTAAAAGTGCAGGCATCTCATTGCTGTTTATTATGCACAGATATATATGGTTTTCTTTTTGTATCACTGAGTCCAGTACTTAAAATAGTGTTCATTGAGGACAGAATACCGTTAAAGTTCGTGTTAGGGAGAGGGGAGAGCGGTGTGTGTATGCATGCGTGCGTGCGTGCGTGCGTGTGTGTTTAATTTCCAATTGTTTCTGCTCTCGATAAATTACACTTACCAGATTGTTTTAGCACATTCATAAAGGTTGACAAAACTCGGCCTAGTGAAATGACAGAATCTATTCGTAGCATTATTTTCTCTGTCGGCTTATTATATCAACATTATTAGGACTCTTTTAATCCTTTTATTACTTCAATATTTTCTTTTTTTGTCAAAATATCATGAATATTTGGCGTATTTCACTATTTTAATCAATTCAAGACTGTCATTTTAAGGACTCTCCAGGGGCTCATACATATGCGACAGAATGTCTCAATTACATAGGTAAAGTATACGTATAGCTGTGAATATGGAAACGAAGAAAGATGATCTTAAGGAATACTAGTACATAATGTATACAAATTACAGGGTAAAATATGTGGAAAAATCAAAGCACATTTCTTTGCAAGCTTGTATCGGACAACATTGCTTGACAATTTGGTCAAGCAAGATATCAATTATAGATAATATCGTCTGAATTTATTGAAAATGTAATAATTTATAATAAGTCAGTCTTGATAAAATTCGAAATGGTAGTTAACTTATAACGAATGAGTAATATCAATATCTAGCTTTCACATCAATGAAATTAGACTAAATAATCATTTCATTTTATTTATTGGTAAATCGACATTTCAAATGCCTTTAACCATAACAGAAGAAATAAAATAATAAAATCATGTTTTAAAATAGTTCAATCATAGGTTAGACATAATTTGAAATAGCCAAAAGGAATTGTCGTCTAGATAAACTGCCGTGAGATATTATCTTCAAAGCAAACAAATAAAAGTCCACACGCATAAAAGTCACCTTTGTCTTAATGTTATAAAGTACAAATTTAAAAGTACAAAGTTTAGAAAAAGTCTATATTATTTCTTACATGGTGGGTTTCCATGTTGAATTAAAACTTTTAAACTTTATATACTAAATAAAGGTATCCGGTCAATATGTGGCCAATACTAGTGGTAGTAGTATTATTACCCCTAACTTTTTTTGTAATGTCAATTTCCCATAGGCCTAACTGTTAATGCAAGTGACTAAGAAATCTGTACTGTTACATAGGTAAAAGTACATATCTAGTCACTTCGTTGTTTTTTTCTTTTAAAAATATAAAATCTTCCATTTTCTTTTCTCGATTCAGCCTCTTTTTTCGAAGTTCACCACGAAGGGGGATTCAAAGGGCATCACCAGAGTGTCCGACTATGACACTCAGAAAATAGTTATTTCCATCCTAGAGTGTTTTTTCCGTCTTAAATGTCTTGATTGAAAAGTTAACAGCTACTCGCTTTGTCACGATGTGTTTAAATGTCAAAAAGACGATTTTCTCAGTTTAACAACAACCTGGATAATGATGGACTAGACAAAGTGAAATATTCCAATCATAACAAAGGGCAATTAGTCCCAAAACGGTCACCTGGGGAGTATTATATCAAGATGCAGAATGAAGTCCCTATGTATATGCACTTGCACATTATGGTCCGTTGATGATTTTGTTATATCAAGTCCCAGTGACCTTGACCTTTGGACCTGAAAATGTGTGTGGAAGGTAGAACTCCACATTGTTATAGATTAATTAGTTTTGGAATGAGTAATAATTAACACAAGTCCTATATAAGTCTATATAAATCAAGTACCCCCTTGGGCGGGGCGAATGTTGAATTGTGGCGCATGATTAACATTTCTTTTTTCTAAGTTCACAAGGCAATGCTACATATAAAAAATTTAAGCTCCTGGCAACAATAAGACTTAAACATATTGACGAGATAGAAACGTAAGTATACCAGTATTAGTCTGTGGCGTGTATTTTATCTATGATAATTTCCTTTTTTGTACTTTTTTTAAATGACACACCTTCGTGAATATTGAAATAAACTTTTGATCACAAATACATGCAACCATAGTTGTTTAAACTTTGCTTCCATTTTAGAAGATTACTTCCTTCTACTGATGTTCATTTATTGTAAATAAAATTGCGTAATCGCAATGCAGCCTTAAAATCATGCTTTAAAGACGTTTTGTACACGTATTTCTACTGTGCAATATGATAAGCACGTGTCTCATCAACTAAGAAAACATATATTGCGAGTTTTTATAACAAGGTAGATTGGCTGCACGTTAACTGTGATTGGAATTCAATTGCAATAATATTATGGGAGATATTATTCCATAAAATACTGAAACCCAGATCATCTCAAATGTTTTGTGCACTAAATGCCCATGAATCTTAAACCAAGTTCTGCTGATCACACATAGAACGATTGAGAATCAATGTGTCGCGAGCTCGTATAAACTATATAAAAGAACAGTTTGGCTAGTTATTGCCTATGGGGCGTCTGTTTGGAGATAAATCCTATTCTCATATTATATATGTGCAAGATAGAGCAATGAGATTTTTCCTGGGAATTGGTTGATACACTCCAAATAATACTACATATAATGAGTTTGGTTGGCAACCTCCACATGTGAAACAGTGGAGATCTGTGACCTAACAATGAAAATGGATAGTGGTAGGACCAATTTTAAGATATTCCAATATTGTGATTTTAAAGGAGATTCTATAGGAACCAATAACAGTAGAAACGGGCAGCATGTTTTTAAGAAGCACTTACATTTGTTGAATTTATAACATTTATAACACAATTTTACAGCATGACATTCAAGAGACTTTTGTAATAAGGTTGTAGCAGGTTCAATGGATATATTGACTACTGAAGGGTTACAAGTATAAGAAATGTAATAGGTCTCTCCGACAGAGTCAAGAATAAAATTCGTACATACAAGCATTTTAAAAAATAGTTATGGAAAATTATACTGCGTGCACACAAGTAAACACAAAACAGCAATAGCTAGGTTAAGATTTGGAGTAGCCCAAATCCGTTTAGAAACTCGAAGATATGAAAAATTACCAGAGGAGCAGCGTGAATGGTGTTGGAAATGAACAGAAATTTCAAGGATTCATCTGATTATAAGATAAAAATGTATTGTATGTTATTATATATGAGAGAAACAAATGTGTATATACAACAAAGATGATATAAGAATAACTGATAAATACCTTTGCTTCTATATCAACTATTTTTATGGACTGTATAAGTCCACTGTGGGAAGGAGGAGTCTTACTGTTTCAGAATTATGCTACTTTTTGTCTGATTACTAGTATCATAAACATATAACATGCTGATCAGGGTTTGAATATTTCTTTAAACATAATCATGCGAACTTCTACATAATTATACTATATGTACATGTAGTATAGTTTAAGGACATGTGCCTTTTAACAAGTGTACAAAATCATTGCTTATCAGTTCACCTCTGATAAGGAATTATATCTATTTTTTCTACATTGTTTCATATAATGCGCACTAGAGCAACATTGACAATTTTCAGTATCTTAAGATTTTTGTGTTCTATGCCACTTTTAAAGAAAGGATATGCAATAGTTAATGTTAATATAGACAATTGCTAAATTAAATATATGATATGAAACCCCCTTCATTTCTGGGACAAGTTGAGCTAAATGACCTTGTTGGCCAAATGTTGCTTATGCCATTGGGAAAGAAATTGGTCAAAATGTTGTATCAAATATCTAAAATGAAGTACTGTCAATAGGTCTCTATGCTAGTTAAAGAATTGAGTAGTTTATGCTTGACTTATAATCCAAAAAAATTAGTGGAATGTTTTGCTTATGAACTATATGATAGTACATGTATTGCATCACGTTTGAAGAAATGAAAAGTGTCTCAATATATATGTTTAGATTGGTTGTAACATGTAAATGTATTTTTTAATATGTATATTGCAATGTGATATGTAAAATGAGACAACAAACTATATAACCATATAACTATATTGTAATCAATATTTAAGAACTCTTTCTTTTCTTAGGATAACAAGAGTACTTTATCAAGCACCTCATAGTCATTTGCAGTTTGGTATTTGAAATTCAAAATTATGAGGTAGCAGATTATTATTTGTTATTATCATAGAAAAAGTGCAAACACTGATGGTTATCGCTATAACAAATTATTTAGACATGACATATTATTAATAAAACAAAGGTCGTTATAATCATAATATACAAGCCAGACTTTCATAACTCTAATCTGTTCAAAGCATTTCCTGATTATCATTGAAATATACGCAGAAAGCTATGGAAAGCCTTGACTGTCTTATGATTATAAACCTTTAGAAACGTTGTTATGTCCATATAGCAATATATTGTAAGCCATTAGTTATATAGAGGATATCGAATGAGTGTAGTTTAATACTAAATTTATTGAACGAGTTGAATAAAATCATATTATGCGAGCCTCTGGCGAGCATAATATTGTTTTATTCAACGAGTTCAATAAATTTAGTATTGAATCTACACGAATATAATATTCTTTTTATCACATATATAAACTAAGAACAGTAAACTGTTAAAATGAGTAAGTTTTCAATGACGCGCCCATAGTGTAACGCTTACATTAGCGCGCTTTAACGCTATGTTTCTATATAGCGCAAATGACGTCACGTCAGAGTGTTATTGCACTAGTGTAATATCGAAAGATAATTTAACAGAGATATTAATTGAGAATAGAATCTAATAGAAATTGTGAAAAGAAGAGATATAGTTTATAAATGACTAGATCTATTATTGATAGATGTTAAAGACATAATTATTTTTATATATGATATTTGTTCTAACTGTTCCATAAAT